CGGGTATTGAGTTTTAAAAATACTTATGTTCACAGGACACTAAAACAAGTTTATTTTGTAAGTTTCAGAAAAATCTAAAAAAAATGGATTTTTTCGGAGAACGTCCTTAAAGTTTATCTACGGGCATAAGTCGGGATTTTCAGCGAAGAGGCGCCGCTCCAGCTAATTTCACACCACGTGGCCGGCCCTGGTCGTCGCTGCTGCCGCGCCGCAGCCGTCACAGGTCGCAGGCAGACCGCTCCGCTGGACGACAGGAACGTTAGGAACGGCGGAATCGGGAACGGCGGAGTCGTGAGACGTGAGAGTGTTGTCAGACGTAGTGCCCGTGTGCCCCCGAAGTGATAAATTGATTTCGTTCGACGAGAGACGGCACCGGCGCGCATCTATGGATATTCCTCGCGGTGAGTAGAGGTGCGTCGCGCCCGGTCCGGAATTCGGCCGGCGTACGATTAAAAAAAACGCGCGACCATGCGGCCGTCGAATACGGAATATATTGATTTTCCCGACGCACGGAATGGGCGTGCTGCTCGCCGCCGCTGCTGCCGCCGCCGCCGTCGTCGTCGTCGTCGTCACGTCGTCTGTCCGTGATCGTAATCCGTTTATCATCCTGGTCCTTCCTTCGATTCTTCCGCGTTCCCGCGTATTTTATCCAGCGTCGCGGACGTTCGGCCGAGCGATCCTTCCGTCCACGATGATCTTCGCCTTCACCGATTATCGCGATTCTCCCATCGTATACTCCTCGATGCGGCTCCATCATCGTGTCGAGTAAATAATCGCCGAACGGAGCTTCTCAAAACTAACCTCAAAGCAGCATCTCGATGACGGTACTATCCGTGCCGCCCGTGAACACACAACAAGGTGATACTAGGCAATCCAACGGGTGTCCCTCCCGAAATAGAGATGATTCACGAACGGGACGACGATTGACAGGAATGACAGGTCAGTCCGTCGCGATTTTACGATTCGCGACGAGATGATGACAGTTCGGGAGGTCGCTTTTTGCAATTTTTCTCCTACCTTCCTAATTGCACTCTGGAACCAAAATTTTTCTCAAATCCTTCAATTTCTATCCTCTAATTTTCTATCTCTATCCTTAATCGCCTGCCACAATAAGCCATTAGTTATAAATCAAAAGTCAAAAAATTGATCACAGTCGTCGCAATTTTTAACTTGTTACTTTTGATTTATGACTAAAGCGTGATTTACACAGGGCGACTTTTATTCACTAGAAGCCGCGTCTAGTGACGTCATAGCGAATTCGCTACTAAAAACTTCTAGACGTGGGTTCGTTTTTATAGCATATAATCGCGGCGAATACGGCTTTCAACGGTTGTCACTAGCTTATCGCTAAGAGTCTGTGCTCGTCTATCGATGTGATCGGATTATTGCATCATCATTTTTGGAAAGTTCGACCGGTTTCAAACGCGCAATTGAGTTTATGTTACTCTTTTAGACTTTCGTATTCCTCATATTGTTTTTTGTTTCTCGCCGCATAAGCGGCATTTTCGATTCTGGCCGTATCGACTCTGTGTTAGACTCTGTGTCAGGGCCATTCTCACGAAGAAGAAGCTAGATTGTCGCTGGCTTGTCGCTAGCTATTTGCTTCTCCAGAGCGAATTTTTACGTTGTCAGGGTGAAAAGACGAATTTTTCCAAAACGTCTCGGCCACTCAGACCATGAGCATCAGAGAATAATTATGTCATCGAATGACATACTTCGAGCCGCTGTTGTGCTTTGTGATCAATTATTCGCTTGATCATTAGCGATCACTTAACGCTGCGAAAAATTCAAAATTTTAATCGCTAGTGAATAAAAATCAAGTGTGTATAAGAAGCTTTCATCAGCGAATTCGCGGACGAATTAAGAAGCGTGCTTCAAGCGAATAGCAGAATCGAGAGATTCTCTGGAATTAATGACGTCACTAGACGCGGTTTCTAGCGAATAAAAATCGCCTCGTGTAAATCACGCTTAATCGTAGAAGGCCCATAATTACATCTCAATTCTCATGTGTTACGCGATTATAGGCTAGCTCCCTGCGATGCTTAGGATACACTGGATCGAGAGAGAGAGAGAGAGAGAGAGAGAGAGAGAGAGAGAGAGAGAGAGAGA